CCCGCCTCACACCAGGCAAAGTAGGCCTCCACGTGCGATGGTATATCTTACAAGACACGGCTTTGTGAGCCCTGAGCATCGTGGGGATAACTGCATCTGACAAACCACGATCCTTCAACACCTGGCTCGGGACCCTGGGACAGAAGATCTGAACGAAGCGGCAACCGCCAAGGAATGTCCATGACCAACCGAACCACGTCCCATGCTCTCCTCGATCAATCTGGGGCCACGAAGATGCCTTCAGCAGCTATCGTGCATACTCAAAAGATACAACCAACGAAAGGCATAAAATCAGACCGTTGTCCGACTGAACTCGAGTCGACAGGCCCTGAATACGAGCCGTCCAATGATGGAGAGACAGGCTTATTGCTCGAAGCTCCAACAGGTTGATCAGCACATGAGACTCCAATGTCCCTCTGTCGTCCAGGACCCCTCCCCAGCCCAGAAGGCTGGCGTCCACGGCGACCACCTCCCAACGCAGAAGTAGGAAGGATTTCCCCGACACAAGAGCAGGAGATCGGAGCCACCAAACAAGGTCGCCCGAGACATCCGAACTTCCATGTCCAACAAGGGAGACTTGTCCCAACGCAACAAGATGTCCCTCTGTAGATCCTGGTGTGATGCTGTGCATCAGGAACTGCCACGAAGGGGGCTACCATGAGGCCCAGCACCTGCATACAGAATCGGATGGTCGACCACCGACAAGACTGTAACAACCGCACGCGAGAGCCGAGCTTCAGAATCTTCCTTGGAGGAATGAAAACCCAGGCCAGATAGTGTCCAGAAGCTGACCCAGATGCTCCAGACATGGAGGACGGCACCAGGCAGAACTTCCTGAAGGAAGGATCCAGCCGAACTCCTCCAAGGACCACAGTGAGACAGCAAGATCCACCACCAGAGAAGAATGCGACTCCGAGAAGGTCGTCCTGATACCCCACAATCAAGATTCCCCGACAGCGCAACAACGCCAGAATCGGGTCCAACACCTTGGTGAACACTCAAGGGGCTGACGCCAGACCGAAAGGCAGAGCCACAAACAGGAAGTGCTCCTCTCCCACCGCAAACTGAAGATAACACTGATGGGAACGACAAAATGGGAACATGAAGGTAGGCATCCTTAATCTTGATAGAAGCCAACAGATCCCCCTGATGGAAACCATTAGATCCGTAGCGGTGTGTCTCCATCTGAAACCTGTGGACCCGCACACGGTAAACAGATTTGAATAAAATACTTTGAACCACTCCGAGGAGGGCACCGGACAAATCACCCCTAGACAAGAGGTCTGCCACCGCGCAATGAAGATCCTCGAGCCCTTGTAGAGAGAGGAGCGTTTTGTAGGGGAAAAAAACCTGTCCCCGGGGCGAGACAGAAAACTCTTATCTTGTAGCCCGAAGAAACCAGCTCCCGCACCCAGGTGTCAAAGATGCGAGACAGCCAAATATCTCGTCCCCCTGGAATCCAGAGATGGGGACAGACCTTCATGCAGAAGGGGGGCTTACGAGACATTGCCAGGGACACTTGGCGGCTTGGGAAGGGAAAGGCTAGTGGAACTTACAGCCCTCACCAGGGCGCAAACAAGCCGGGGGCTCAAGTAACGGCCGCTTGCCGCACAGGCTGGCCGAATCACTCATCAGGGGGCGCTGCCACGGCGCTCATCCAGCACTCCAAGCCCACCATGTCTTCGCACACAAGCCCCTTCACTAGGCCGCAAGGAGACCGGGGCCTAAAGTATCAGCCGTCCGCCACACAGGCCGGCCAAAACAGCACATAGGATCCTCGCCCCACACCCGAACCTCCTGGCCACCACAGAACCCCGAAATGCTTCCAAACTGCTCCTCCAAAGCACCCAGAGAGCTGGGACGCGAACCAGGGACCCATCCAAGGGAGAGAACCAGCAGGTCAAAGTCCCCATGCACCGCCCCAAGCCCAACATACATACAACCAGGGGAAAGACTTCCCGGACTCCCGAGACAGCGACCACCTCCACCCTCAAGGGGGGGTGATGATGCCAGGGAACTCCACAGGAATGCAGAGCACAACAGTCAAGGCGTGCAGGGGGGCGGAAACGCCACCGATTACAGTCGAGGCGCCGCCAGCCTGAATGAAGTGCTGTAAATGGGAAGCCAAGACCCCCATTCGTATTAACACGATCGGGACGAACCCACAGGCTACTCTGTCAGAACAGAGTCGGGGCAGCTGACCCACCATGGCAGAGTTTGCATGCGCTCGTTGGTCACACATGGACGACTACAAGTTACATAGTATTTGAGGTTGAATAAAGACATATGTCCATCAAGTCCAACCTATTTGTGTATGTGTGTATGGTCCTATTGGTGTGTAGTATGTATAGGTCCCTGTGTGTTCTCAATTTTAAGAGAACTTGTAATCCTGTATATTATGTTCCCTGAGGAAATCGTCCAGTCGCCTCTTGAATGATTCTACACTCTCAGCCGAAATCAAAGCATGTGGCAGCGAGTTCCATACCTTGACCGATCTAACTGAGAAGAAACCCCTTCGCCCCTTGTGCTGAAATTTTTTCTCCACCAATTTTAAGTGGTGGCCTCTCGTCGTTGTTTTCAACGACGGTTGCAATTTCCAATTACAGTTTTAATGAGCGCACGCGGCGATACCTGGTATGTGTAGCGCAATCGTCATTTTTGTACGTAGACACATTTTTTTCATTTAACTATTTTTAAACCTTTTTTTTTAACTTAACTTTATTCCTAGCACATGCTCTATGTGCTAGGAATAAAGTTAAGTTAAAAAAAAAAAGGCTCACAAGTCCCCTATGTGATAGCACATTGGAGCGGACAGGTTCTCTTTAAGGTGACATTAGGGGTCCAGACCCTTAGTGTCACCTTTCCACTTTAATAGCTTTAGCTGTGGAATGTAAATACAGCAGCCAGTGGCTGGGAGCAAGAGCTAGCCTGCTATTGGCTATTTCAAATTGAAAAAGCAGGCTGGGTATAGCACCCGCCCACTGCCTGCTGTCCATTAAACAGAAGAGGGAACTGAAGAAGAAAGCTCTCCTTCAGTTCCTCCTCTGCTGATTGACAGCAGGCGCCTGCAATAGCCAGCCTGCTATTGGCTACTGCAATTTAAAATAGCCAATAGCAGGCTGGCTAATGCTCCCAGCCGTTGGATGGGAGACTTGTCGCTGGCTTTCTACTGCCAGCAGTTGATCCAAAGAGGGGGCACGGGGATGCAGCGGAGGCACAAGCATAGTCACTGCACCTGAAAGCGGTCTCTCCTCCCCACTGGGCACCGGCTGCAGCAGTTTGTGTCCCCTCCAACCCCTGCTGCCTCTGGTGATACAAGCGGGGAGAGCAGCGGGGATCAAAGGGTACACAGACCGCAGCATGCTCCCAGCAGGGAGGAGCAGCGCTGATGGGCATCCAGAACTGCATGTTCGGGGCGTCGGACAATAGGAATTGCTCACTCCTGGTGCAAGCAGTGGACGGGATGACAAAACCCCAGGCGCCAGGATGCAATTTCTAGTTATCATGGCAACCTGGCACCTGGGATTTGTCAAGCCCTGGTTTAAAGTATAAGGCTCCATTCAGGTTCCTAGGCTTTTTGTCACTCAATGCTAAGCACGACAAAACACTTAAGACAAAACACTTAAGACAAAGAATCCCATACATTTCCACAGCCACTGTTCACACCTGAGCATTTCACAGTGCATTTTGTTCAATGTAGTTTCCCAAAAGGAGCCAAAAAGCGCTGTAAGCTGACAAAAAGTAACTCATCTACTTTTTCCAGTGACAGGCATTTCAAAATGATTAGGTGTTAACAGGGGCCATAGAAATACATGGGATTCCTTGTCTTGACTGTTTTGTTGCGTTTACCTTTGAGCGAAAAATGCCTAGGTGTGAACAGGGACTAAGTAGGCAGAAAAAAAAAAAATGGATTCAAAACATATTCCTTAATAACCACAAAGGATATAGCAGTGACATCATCACTGTGCTGTATATAGCTTGTGCAGATAGCAGAGCTGTGGGAGGGGCCCACTAGAGTCTGCCACTACAGGGAGGCGGATACAAAGACTAGCTACCCTACACAAGTTGAAAGAGCAGAGGTGACCAGTCTTTCTCACAGGACATTCCTGTACAAAAACATTTCACACAGATCTGGAAATACACAAAGCATTTAAACAATGTTTTGTTACTCTGTAGTTTAGCTTTAAAGAGCTATTGTTTTAACACATCCTTATTACATGAGGCACTATTTATTTAGAAACCAATTTTACCCTTAGAGACAATGACCTGCAATCATTAAAATGCAGACATCTCAACTCTCCCGGATGTTCCTGGTCTCCCGGTATTAGATAGCGGCTCCCGGACAACCGGGAGAGAAACATTTTCTCCCGGAAAGGTTTACTTTGCTCGATCTAGCAGAGTAAACCTTTCCGTGCTGGGTTTTTTTTTCTGACATCAGGGCTTCGTCAGAAAAAAAAAAAACAGCATAGGAACTAATATATAAATTGCTATTGGCTATTTAAATTAGCAATAGCTATTGCACCCGCCCACTGCTACTATCAATCAGCAGAGGTGGACCTGAAGTTCTGTATCAGGTCCACATCTGCTGACTGAGCAGCAGCTGTCAGAACAGTAAAGAAAAAAAAACCTGCAGATGGCAAAGAAGCTATCTGCCATCATTTCAGGAGGGTGCTTTCTTCTTTGTTGTTGCACCCCCCCCCCCCCCCCCAGGGGGGGGGGTTGACAGAAGGCACCTCCCGATTTATTTCAGGTTAGGATCCCTGAAAATGCATGAACCACCGCGAAATGTGCTTATTACTCAACAATCATCAATCAGATACAGATTCTCATTATCCAACTGTTCACTTTCAGCCCCTTTCTGAATGTGCTAACAATTATTCCTGCTTCCGAGACTTTACTAAATAGGGCCTAATGCAACAAAGGGGCTTACAAGGCTAACAGCTTTTTCCTTCTTCAGCGCCATCAACGTGCTCAACACATTAATTTTAAAAGCGCACAATAACAATTGGCCGCCCGTCAATTTACCCTCATATACAGCCGAACAACATATTAATAAACGAGGCGCCACAAATTGATTTTCACTCGTGATAAGAGAATAGTCGTTTAGTCCTAATAGATGAACGCACATACCTGGTGATTGTCACTCTACACAAGCTATTCGCCTTATACATAAGCGTTATCCGGCCCGGTGTTCCCAAAATCCGGTTTCCAGATCTCATTTACTTCCGCCGTCAAAACGCCTCGGAGCCTACACAGGCCGCATCCTTTCCCGGTACCGCCCACCCGACATGCTGATTGGTGGAGCTTTGGTTTGGGTTCGCCATAGATTGAGGCTTCATTGGCTTGCAACAAAAGAAGTCACCAAACAACACCCGCCTCTACTTCTTGATGAGGTCCGCAGAGCTAAACAAGAAGATAAATGCACGTACTCAGCTGTGTATCGTGATCAATGCGATTCTTTCACTGGGTTTTTTATCAAGGCCAATGCTTGTCTTTTTTATTAATAGTGCAAAGCCGCCCTTAGTGATTTGTGCCTAATGCCTGGCGAACATACGCAAAAACTTGATGCTGTCAAATTGCTGCTGCCATGGCAAAAAGCTGTTGGTTATGTATTAGCATACACACAATATTAGCAAAATGGCCACAGTAAACAAACTTACCCTTTGTGCTCTTTCATATCTGTCACATCAATGTATGTCCGTGCACGCATGCTGTGCCTTATGTATAATTTCCTTTTTTATTTTAGCAGTATTAACTTATACAACTGGGCATGCTTTTTTTCTTTATAAGGTGAGAATATTCCTTTAACCACTTGAAGACCAGGGTGTTAACCCTTTCACTGCCAAGCCCTGTCTAAAGTTGCCCATACATCGGTCAAATTCCGGCCACTTTTTAATGTATCGGCCAAAATTCGCACAGCGTGTGGGTCTGTCGGCTCCCTTTTAGACCGGGTTCCTCGATCAGCTGATCGAAGGAGGCGGCTCGAAAATTTTCGATTGACTAGAGCCGACAGCCAATAAGCTGCCCGCTCTGGTCGGGTATTGCCCATCAGAATACAATGTACACAGCAGGATTCCTCGATCGACCCACAGGTGTATGCCCAGCCTAACGGTGCCTATACACTGCAATTTTCGTTCAGGAGTTTTCGTTGCTGCCAAGAATCCAGATAGCAAGGATAACTTGCCACAAATTTGTGCCAGGGTTAAATTGTAATTCTTGTTAACTTGCTGCACACATTCTTGGCAAGTTGTAGACTTGCAGAACACTTGCAGCACAAAAGTTCTAGTTGACACTTTTTGAATTTGAAGCAAATTTGCTTAGCAAGTCTACAGCAAGAGTCCTGCAGGTCCTGGCCAGAGCTCTGCAAGCTCGCTGGTCTGGAGGCTTGCAATGCAGACTTGCTGTAATTGTGCAACAAAATTGTGAAGCTTGGCAAGTCTGCAATAGTTTAGCAAGTCATTTTCAAACTTGCAGCTCAATTACTTGCTATCTGGGAACCCTCTTTCGATTCTAGCTCAAATAGCCCATCAAGCACAGACCAATGTTGTTTTGATAATCGTACATTAGTAATACGAACTCATCAAATTTCGTCAATCGACAGAACGAATTTTCGTTTGCGCATGTTCATGTGGAGATTTTTTTCAGATGAAAATGCCACTAATCCATCGATTTTTCCTTCGTTTCGTTCGTGGAAGTTTTCCAGCCTGACCGATTAAGGAAATTCAGCCAGAAGTGCGTGTTCAATTTCCGAACAATAATCGCAGAGTGTATGGGCACCTTTACACCTGTGACCTCAGCTGGCCACACCATTTTTGCAGTTTTTCACCTTTTTTTACATTTTCAACTGCTGCTTTTACAATTTGTAAAAGACCCCCCAAACCATATGTTTTCTAAAAGTACAGAACCGGTAGAATAAAAACTATTACTAATTTTGTAGGTCCCGTGACAGTTGCACAAATGTTTACAAAATCAATATTTTTGCTAAAAATACATTAAAATTATCAACGCACCAAAAAAAACCCCATAATTTACAAGATTCCTACAAATCTAACAATTTACAACTGTACTGAGCTAATAAATAACACATTTGTGCATTTTAAATCGTGCCTTTTTGTGAAACGTAAAAAAAAAAAAACGAAGGAACGTAAACCTGTAAATAAGCAACTTATGCTGAAAATCTGTTTTGTTAAAATCTGATCTGCTGTGCAGTTTGTGCACTGTGTTGGTGTGTGTTGCGATAAAATGACGCGGGCACACATTTAAGTGCAACACAGCATATTACAACGCACGTCAATCCGTTGCAATGCTTTGCCATGCGCTGCCACACAGTTAAATAAATGTTGCTGTAAAAAGAAAAAAATCAAGCGGTGCTAACAACGCACCACAGCGCTTGCACATGATGTACACCACCATATGGTGTAAGTTTATGTATGTGTGTTGGGGGGATGCTTTATTTCTTTTTTAACTTTTTTTTACTCTAATTTTTATTTGTTTATTTTTGTTATTTTTACTTTACTGTTAAGGGCTTTGGGGAAACATCTAACATATTATTTCCCTATTGAAATAGAAAAGAGTTTGAGGACACAGAGTCCTTAATTTTCTTTTCTGCAGCCCCAGCACTCAATAAATAGGAAGCACTCAGTACAGAGGCTTACTGTTCATTCACAAACTGAGGAGGCATAGTACTCTCGACAGTGATGGGACAGGAAGCCTCTGTACTGAGCCATCGCTGGCTGTAAAAAATTTTTAAAGGTTCCCACTCGAATGTGGGGTGCGCATGGGAAAAGACGCATCTCAGTGCTGCTGATTTCCTTAGGCCTCTTTTCAGTCACTTCATGTCTACATGCATGTACCCCAGCAGTGGCTGCATGGCACTTCTCATAGTGGGTTAACTGATGGTGACAACAGCGGACCATGCCTACATAGAGTCAGTTGAAACAGCCTCCTGTAGTGTCCATCAGAAGCCTGTGTGACAGGGGGACAATGCCAACATACAGTTTGGGGACAGGGACAGAGCATCATCACCCTGTAACAGGAAGTGTCTGAACAAGGACCTTTATGGCAGGATAATTAGGTATCATTTTAATGAAAGTTGTATATTTAAAAATAAGGAAAATTACTTTTGAAATAACATTCACATGTTAAAAATCATATGAGATTTTAGTGATTGAGTTTTCAACACTCATGAATCAGGTAAGTATTGTTCCCTCAACCGTAGTTAGCATTTGTGGGTGGGGCCACATTAGATTGGCGGTGGGTGGAGCTGAGGATTGGCCGGCCAGAAATAACTCATCAAATGTAAATAATTCCACCCAAAGTATGGATTGTACTAGTATGGTTATGTCAGCGTAATACATGGCAAATTGCATGAGGGCTTCAAAGGGACCAGTCAACATGCTGTACATAGAGCAAGCACAGTTGTCCGGTTATATATCATCTCAAAAACTTATCCTCCAGAAGCTTTCCTGCAGCATTTCTTGAATTACACTCATCCCCGTAGTTAGAGCCAACGTGTGAAATTGAAACTGTCACAGGTCGGCTCTATTGATCGGGAAGTGAGCAAAAACATACCGGCGCTCACTCACTTCTCGATCATCTCCCTGCAGAGAACGGTGACTATCAGTTGCCGCTCCCCACAGGGATTCTCTCCGATCCTCCAGCGTGAAGGGATGGATGGGGGAGGGGGCGGGCATAGCTGGCCCTGCCTCTAAATAAGCAGAGCTCGCTGTAATTTAGCCAGTGGATCTCAACAGTAATGTCGGGATCCGTTCCGACTGCGGCACTCTCAGCATATAGCGTGCATGCTAAAACCTTAAAATCATAATGCACATCGGCACCAATGACAAAATAGGAGGAAATTGGAGTGTCCTAAAAAGGGAGTTCAGAGAATCAGGTGCTAGGATGAAGGAAAGGACCTCCACGATAGTTTTCTCAGAGATACTGCCAGTGCCACGAGCCACTCCGGACAGACAGCGCGAGTTGAGGGAGCTTAACAAGTGGCTCCGGAGCTGGTGTCAGAAGGAGGGATTTGGTTTCCTGGAGAACTGGGCTCACTTTGCAGTCGGCTACCGGCTCTACAGCCGAGACGGGCTGCACCTTAATGGGAGAGGTGCAGCATTTCTGGGGGGGGAAATGGTAGAAAGACTGGAGGAGCTTTTAAACTAGAGAATGGGGGGGTGGGCATAAAAATAAAATTACTTAAATCAAATGGAGATAAATTAATCGTAGATTAAAAAAATAATGATAATACAGAAATAAGTAACAGAGTAGTAGATAGTGGGCTCACTCCAGTCCACACAGTTAAAATAATCACCGAGGTTAAAATAGTGGAAACAGTCAATGTAGCAAATACGTTGTCAAAAGTGAATAAAATTAGAAACGAACCAATGTCAAGGCCAAACAATAAAACTAGTGGGGAACAAGAAGGATGTAAACTTTTGTCCCATAACAAGACAGGAATTAAATGTATGTACACCAACGCTAGAAGTCTAGCAAATAAATTAGAAGAGCTTGAAATTATGATACTCGAAGAGGACTTCGATATAGTGGGTATATCGGAAACCTGGCTAGACGGGTCAGGGGCGTGCCTGAGGCTACAGGACAAGAAAACGTACATGATACTGTTGTGGCCATCTTCAACATGCTGCTGTGCCATCCACCCACTACAGCGATAGAATTGGATCGTGCACACAGAGCACCTGGCCCGCGCTCCGAAGATCCAAGCAGGCCCCGAGACATTGTTTGCAGACTGCAAAGGTTCCCGGTCAAGGAGGAAATTTTACGCAAAATGTGGTCCCAGGGGCCAATTGATTTTGATGGGGCCACGATACGGATTCTGCCGGACCTTTCCAGGGCCATCTTACAGCGGAGGATGATCCTAAAACCGCTACTGACACGCCTGTGGGAAGCAGGTGTTGTGTACCGATGGGGATTCCCCTTTCACCTCATTATCCGGAGGAATACTACTCTCTTCGCCCTGAGACAAATGTCAGACCTACCTGCAATGTTCGAATTCCTGGAAATGGAACCCTTCCCAGTCCCGAACTGGCTTCAGCGTCTTCCCGGGGGTTTTGCTGGACCACGGTCACGGCCGACACCATCCGGCCGCCCTCAACGGCCTTCACAGCAACAACGACGGAGGAGGTCCTCCTCCCGGGGTAGAGCCAGCGAACCCTAGGGGTCCCGAACATCAGGTCTGAGCGACAGGGAGTTTCACACACGCCGAAAACAGACGAACACTAGTTGGGTCATCACCCCTGCCATGGGA